TGGACCTAAAGCGCAACAATTCAAAAGGAAAGTCTTGGGCTGGAATACTTCTGGGACACAATTTGAGGGAGCATTATTGAATTGGAAGGACTAAGTTGCTTGTCTTTTTCTGAAGGGGAAAAGTGAAACGTAGCGTTGGAGGGAGGCATTCTTTGGATTAAATTGGATCGAAGGGCAGCAAGCAGTAGGGAAAGCTGGGTGGCGACTCGCAAGCAGCTGGGGATAAAAGAGAAGACCAGAACGAGAGAGAATTAATTCAGGGGAAGCAGCGTCGCGCGAAGCTTGAAAAAGAAGGCATAATTCTTTTGAGTAGCGGATCACGAGACAGTAGGGGAATTAGCGAGTGGACACGGATCCCCATTATTATAGTAGCGTTTCTCTTTTTCCCTTGATTAGTTTCATGATCAACACAAATATGATTATACCTTTTGATTTTGTGATGAACTAAACCCCAATTTCTGAGGTAAACACCATAGGATGTAGCTATTTCTAGGCTTAATGAATTGATTCATATTTCTTTTCTTTCAATCTCTATTTCATTAAATTACTTAAAGCTTTGTGTTGAATGGCCACCAATACAATGATTTTTAGTTAATTAGATTATTAGCGACAGTGAAACCCTAATAACTGAACATATTTCATGTGACATAGTAACTTATCGAAGAGAGAGTGGATTAAATAAGGTACTATGCGGTCATGATTGGGATATCAGTCTTCAGGCTAAATAGTTAATTCATTGAGCTACGATAGTAGGATTTGAATTAATTGTTTAGTACGTAGTAATTCCCGACAGCGATAGCTAGCACATTCGTGATATCCTGGCTGTAGAGAGTTGGATTAAACTGATTAGAATATGTGAATTAATTTGGATATGATAGGTAGCGAGTCCTGGTGTTTCTCCCGGAGCTTTCTTCCACTGAATTTCTCACGACAACTTTAGTTTACTTTGTTTATTTCTTTTGCATTTAGAAAATATTATAATTAATCTTTTTTTCACTGATAGTTCATTCGACATAATTGATAAACTATAAGGTTGTAACAGTCCCTGAGAGATGATACCAGGATTTTCCGGTTTACTACGAGATAGGATTAAGGCATATACGCTTTTGCCCTATCAAGTTTTTGGGGCCGTTGCCGGGGACTACCATTCCTTATTTTTGTTGATTTTTCTGAGTGAACTATTTTGATCTGGGTGTTAGTGTGCAGAAGAATTTTCAGGTTCATGCTCCTCGTACATGCCTAGGAGGACGACTGGCAATTTACTGCCACTAGATCCGGAGATCGAGAAGACCTTCTGTCAGAACAAGAAGCAGGTCAAGTTAGGGAAGCAGCCAACCACAACCTAGGCCTTCACTAACCCAGAGAGGGCAGGATTCATCACTGTCGTCCCTACACCACCGACACCACCACGCGACATCGAGCTTGTCTTCATGGAAGAGGATCGTTCTATCAGGGCTCGCTTGAATCGAAGGACTGGAACCCGAGCTTCATGTGTTGTCATTCCGGCTGGGGATGCAACCATGGAGATTACCCCAGCATTCATCAACATGATCACCAATGGGTATACTTTCTCTGGGGCTAGTAGTGAGGATCCTCATGAACATCTTCATTGGTTTGTGAGCATATGTGATACGATGAAGAGCCCAACTGTGTCTGATCATGCAATTCGTCTTCAGATGTTCTCATTCTCTTTGTTAGGGAATGCATCACACTAGTTTCAGAAATTAACACCACGTTCCACATGGACTCAGCTTGAGAAGGTCTTTTTGGATAAGTACTTTCCTCCTGGCAAGGCAATGAAGAGACAAGAGAAAATTGTTACGTTTAAGCAAGCACAAGATGAGAGTCTGACTGAGGCATGGGAGCGCTACAAGGGGTTTTGATGAGATGCCCAAGTCATGGTCTTGAGGATTGGAAAGTAATCATTATTTTCTTCAATGGAATCAGAAGGGAGTTCTGAGATGACCTGAATAATGCTTCTCGAAATGTTTTCACCAGCATGGAGGCACCAGCGGCATATGATCTGGTAGAGAAGGTATGTTCTGAAGCCACTGAATGGGGTAGTGACTCGCACAAAACTATACCACGAATTAATCCCTACTAGAGCCCAAGTTTTTAAACTCTAGTCGGGTGCAGTATAGAGCAAGTATTTAAATTGTCAACCCAGGCCAGTCCATGTACCCCTACTTCAATCACTTAAATTGTTATCTAGCACAACGTTTTTTTGGGTTTAAAACTGTGAAAACTAGAAATGAAGACAAGCAAGTAAAGTCTTGAGGGGAATTCTATCTAAGAGGACCTCACTCGGGTGTTGCTTCCCCCTAATTACTACCATGGTATGTGAATTGAACCGCAAAGGGATGCCAATATGGTCGTAGACCACACTCTCGTTTGCTAAACGAAGTATACATTATAGGTCGTGTCACTTGACCCTCTCGGTTTAGGAAATCGGTGGTTGACTTACTCCCTCACTCAACTCAAGGGCTGGACAGCTTAATCGCACTTAACCAATTTTCTTAATTCAACATTGAGGTTTACCCTAAATTAACCTAGTTAGGTGACCTAAAAAGCTAAAGGAAACCAACTCGATTGAGTCTCTCTTGAAAGGGGGATTTTCCTCTCTAATCAAGGTTAAACTGGCTAATTATATTAGTAAGCACCAACATGCACAAACTTAAAGATGCTAAGCACAATCATGCAAAATCCTTAGGTTGCTAAGCACCAACATGCACAAACCTAAGGATGCTAAGCACAAAACATGCACAATCCATAGATTGCTAAGCACAAACATGCACAATCAACATGAATAATACCTCAATCATTGAATTAAACAACACCCATAAACAATCATTCAATTCACATAAGCATTCACATAATTGTAGCTAGGGTTTACAACACCCGAGTGAATAGGTAGGCTATTGACACGATAAAACACAACACCTAACAATGGCCAAGTGTAACCAATGAAAGGGACTGCAGTATAGTGGCACAAGTAATAAATATCGAATCCACGGGTCTCTAGAGTTACTATTACTCAGCTTCAGTTCATTATCTAGCAAACTAGATTAAGGATTGATTTATTAAACTACTCTACTAACTACTCTACTAATTACAATTTGGGAACTCACTTAGGTATGATTCCCCCTAGCTCCTCAATTAGGTCCAAGTTGCAATTACCTTTGGTTGATCTACTGTTGATTAAACTGAGGAAGATCCTAAATTAGCTTAGAAACTCTTAAGCTGACCAAACCCTCTTAGACAGAATACCCGGCAGGCGACTAGCCTTCACCGGGATAGACTGCTAAGGCGATTCACACAGATCTCCACTACTGGAATGAATTCCAGTACAAAGCAATGAATTGATTGACTCTCGCACAACCAATTCACCACTATCAATCAAGGAAGCTCTCTTAACCTAATCAGATTCTATCTATCATAGGTTAAAGCAGAAATCAAGAGAATTTGATCAAGATTCAATTGACTCAATAAATCATGCCTCAATCGATTATAATCAAACAATATAGCATCCAAAACTTCATACAAGAAAGATCCTAACACATGGAACTAGGGTTCCTCAAAACCTAAGTGAAGGGAAGTTACTCCATAGAGAAGAGAGAGACTGCAGAAATCTGATCTAGATCTTCAATCTCCATCTCCAAGCTTGATTCCCGAGATCCAATGGCAAGGAAATCCTCCAAAATAGCTCCAAGAATGTTCCCAAGTCGCTCTCTCTCTCTAGGGTTCGTCCCTTGGGTGTTTTGGAACCAAAACCCAGCTCTCCCCTTTCCTTTGGCTGAAAATCGAGTTTTTAACAGAAATTCCCGATCACGCGGCCAGGCCACACGGCCTTGTGGCTTTCCCAGCTGCCCGTGTGAAGGCTCGGTGATTTCCACACGGCCACGACCCACACGGCCGTGTGGAATTCCAGGATGTCCGTGTGGCTTGCTCAGCCTCTGTTTAGTGCTTCGTTTCTCCCTCGTCCGGACTCCGAATCAATCCCCGTTTGATCCCAGACGCTCATAGTCTTGTCCTCTTTCTTTTCATGACAAGCTTGCATGATTCGTTTTCCATAAAGTGAGGTAGAAATCCATTCTTCTTCAGGTCATGCCCGAGTTTCTTCTCCCGAATCGTCAATTGATCTCTGATTGATTTGAAACTTGCGCCTATGCTTCACTTTATGTGCTAGGACCTGAAATGTGACAAAGGAACACAACCTAGCATAAAATAGGACAAAGACGCAATAATTCAAGCTCAAACAATCAAGAAACAAAGGGGAAAACATGTGTAAATATCGAGTCATCAAATCCCCCCACACTTAACCGTTTGCTTGTCCCCAAGCAAACCTAACTCAAACCAATGCAGCTCTCCAGACCTCTATAGCAACAAACAACCCCGATCGTCGGTAGAGGATTTTCCATATCATATAGCAGCTTACGAGGTCAACTGGTCTTCTACGTTCCCTATCTCTCTCAATGCGGGTACTAGACTCAAGCCAGGATCATGAGAAGAAGTGGAAGTAAGACAACCAGTTAATGGATAAAGGGACTCACAATATTCACAACCAAGGACTCGTTGTACCGGGGGTGCTCTTTCACTTCATTTCATCATTGGAACCCCTTTTTGCACTTTCATTTACATTTCTTTTTCTCTTTTTTTTCTTCATTCGCTTGGCGGGGGTTCCAACTGCAATCTTTTGCACGGTCGACCCTTATTAGTCGAGCAAGAGCAATTTTTGTACATCTAGCGCTCGCCAGAGTACTTCTTTTAACTCCTTTTCCTCAACTCGTGTGGAGGGTCAATGAAATCAAGGGGGGTCGGAAGCTCTATCCGTGCCTTTAAAAACACATCCTCAAGTAGGCAAACCGTTCAACGGGTGAAAATTTTATTTGTACTAGAGACAGCTTAGCTTCAACTTGTAGGAGTACACCACTAAGGATCACTAAAATATCTTCCAAAACCCGATTTTGTGCAATGAACGGTGCCACACACGTTGGGCTTACCCCATGTTTAAGATTTTAATGATTTCGACATGGAGGACCAACTGCTTCCCATTTTCCATATGAGCACCCTTTTTGATACACGAGTCCATAACACAATTCAAACAGAGTCCACATTACCACATGAATTCAACGGTCTTAGCTCCACTAATTCACAAAATCAACTGACACAGCAGAGAGCTAGATAGGAAAAATCTTATACTTCAACATCCTCCATAGTGCTACACTACCTCCCTAGGTTGCACATTACTATAGAGACTGTCAATTTAAAGCATATTGAGCAGGCAATTTGCAAGTAAACACGTACTTAGAGCCCTCAAATTTAAAAATTTGGACAGTGGACTAGTCTCCAAGCACACAAACAGCCAACATTCACCCGCATACATAATCAAACATCCCCCCACACTTAAGCACGACATTGTCCTCAATGGAGGAAAGATAAGGAGGGTAGAACGAAGTTACCAGATCAAGGGTGAATGATGGTGGACGGGGCAGGCGGTGCATTCCAGGAGGAGAGAGTAGTCGGAACACAAACACCACAAAATCTCACAAAGGTTGAGTTATTGACTCTAAAATCAAATAACAAAACTGACTCAAGCGAGGAGGAAAAGAGAAAGAAATGCAAACCGACTGGTTGGGTTGCCTCCCAACAAGCGCTTCTTTCACGTCGTGAGCCGGACGATGGCTCCTAAGTTTCGGTCCACCCCAAAACCTCCTTGAAGTTGAGGTTCTCGTCGATGAGGTGGAGTCTCAAGTCACGAGCATGTGGTATGACAGGTGATGGAAGCTCGTGCACTTGATGCAGATAACGTCTCCACCCTCGAGACCTCTTCTTCTCTTCTCTCGTCTCATTGCCCCATACTAGATATGACAGCATCGATGGACCATCATCGCGTCCAAGAGGAACTGATGTCGATGTGGCCTTGGTCCGACAAAGAGATATTGCAAATGGGTCCTTGCTAAGCAGTTCCTCGAAGTTTGGTGGAGATATCACATGTAACTCATGGCCGGTGCAAGCCTCTTCCACCTTAACTCCGTCCTCAGCCTGGATGCCAATTGCTTCTTCAACCCCCCTTTCTTCTTCATGTGCTATCACCCCTGAGAAATGATCAAGAACTCCTCCTGCTTCACTTTCGTCATCCTCCACAACTTCTTTCTGCACCCTTTCTTGCTCTTCTTCTTCTAGCACAAATTGGAGAGCAAGTCGCCATGTAATTTCTTCAATGAGATCATCTTGCATCTCCTCGCTCGGGCCCAGCATGTTAGAGCATAAATAAGGAAATGTGTGATCTGCAACCAGAGGACTTTCCTGATCATAATTATCATGGGATTTCTCTGTGATAACTTCTGTATGCTCCTCAACATCCCCGTAGCCTTTGTCATCCTCCACCTCTTCTAGCGTGGTAGTAGAAAGGTGATCTTGAGCAAGATGTGAGCAAACTTGCTCCACCCACTCTGTTTGCTTCGCTGAGCGCTGAACAGTCTCCTCCATATCATGGAGAAATGAGGGATCGGAAGCGGCAAGGGCTTTGATTTGAAGATCCATCTTGGAGCATGATCTCTCAGTGTCTCAAGCAAACTGCTCCACGAGAAGCCTTAATTGTTTGTTCGGATCTTCCAGTGAAGTGTAGCATGGCTCTACAGAGTGGCCCGTGAAGGCCGCCATGGGTAACTCCAGCTCCGATGGCCCTTCTGGTTGTGGGAGAAAGTCTTCTTGGTAATGAGGTTGTTCTTGATATGCCCAGGGGTCTGATTGTTCTCCGTAGTAAGGGGGTTGGTACTGGAACCCAAATCCATAGTCTTCTCCTCCTTGATTGCTCCAGGGAGTCTCGGGGTAATACCACTCGGATGGTGGTGGATACCCCCAATGGTTGGAGAAGCCATGAGGATCCATGATTCAGATCTGCACCAACAAAAACAAAAAAACACCCAAGTGAAAAGCAAGGGTGGAAAAGAAAATAAAAACGCTAAAGTAACAAACTTCTGCCTTTCCTAATAATCTAGAAAGTCCCCGGCAACGGCGCCAAAAACTTGACACGCTAAAACACAACACCTAACAATGGCCAAGTGTAACCAATGAAAGGGACTGCAGTATAGTGGCACAAGTAATAAATATCGAATCCACGGGTCTTTAGAGTAACTATTACTCAGCTTTAGTTCATTATCTAGCAAACTAGATTAAGGATTGATTTATTAAACTACTCTACTAACTACTCTACTAATTACAATTTGGGAACTCACTTAGGTATGATTCCCCCTAGCTCCTCGATTAGGTCCAAGTTGCAATTACCTTTGGTTGATCTACTGTTGATTAAACTGAGGAAGATCCTAAATTAGCTTAGAAACTCTTAAGCTGACCAAACCCTCTTAGACAGAATACCCGGCAGGCGACTAGCCTTCACCGGGATAGACTGCTAAGGCGATTCACACAGATCTCCACTACTGGAATGAATTCCAGTACAAAGCAATGAATTGATTGACTCTCGCACAACCAATTCACCACTATCAATCAAGGAAGCTCTCTTAACCTAATCAGATTCTATCTATCATAGGTTAAAGCAGAAATCAAGAGAACTTGATCAAGATTCAATTGACTCAATAAATCATGCCTCAATCGATTATAATCAAACAATATAGCATCCAAAACTTCATACAAGAAAGATCCTAACACATGGAACTAGGGTTCCTCAAAACCTAAGTGAAGGGAAGTTACTCCATAGAGAAGAGAGAGACTGCAGAAATCTGATCTAGATCTTCAATCTCCATCTCCAAGCTTGATTCCCGAAATCCTCCAAAATAGCTCCAAGAATGTTCCCAAGTCGCTCTCTCTCTCTAGGGTTCGTCCCTTGGGTGTTTGGGAACCAAAACCCAGCTCTCCCCTTTCCTTTGGCTGAAAATCGAGTTTTTAACAGAAATTCCCGATCACGCGGCCAGGCCACACGGCCTTGTGGCTTTCCCAGCTGCCCGTGTGAAGGCTCGGTGATTTCCACACGGCCACGACCCACACGGCCGTGTGGAATTCCAGGATGTCCGTGTGGCTTGCTCAGCCTCTGTTTAGTGCTTCGTTTCTCCCTCGTCCGGACTCCGAATCAATCCCCGTTTGATCCCAGACGCTCATAGTCTTGTCCTCTTTCTTTTCATGACAAGCTTGCATGATTCGTTTTCCATAAAGTGAGGTAGAAATCCATTCTTCTTCAGGTCATGCCCGAGTTTCTTCTCCCGAATCGTCAATTGATCTCTGATTGATTTGAAACTTGCGCCTATGCTTCACTTTATGTGCTAGGACCTGAAATGTGACAAAGGAACACAACCTAGCATAAAATAGGACAAAGACGCAATAATTCAAGCTCAAACAATCAAGAAACAAAGGGGAAAACATGTGCAAATATCGAGTCATTAGCTATTCTATATCTAAGCAAGAGAAAACAACAAAAAGAGAAGAAAGAACCATAAAGTGATGTCAATCTTTCCTCCTTGTTGCTTGAGACACCCTTGAGATGAAGAAATCTTCAATCCTCTAGCTAGGAACAAGCCTAAAGCTCCTTCTTCCTCCTTTGATTTTCACTTTCTCAATCTAGAAGAAACCCTAACCTCTCACTATAATCCTCTATCTTCTGAAAATGAAAAACTAACCTAAAAATGAAGCTCCCCTTTCTCCTTAAGCTCCCCTCTCCTTTTATACCCAAATCAGGCTATGTTCAAGGTCTTAGAGTTGAGTTCAAGGACGCGTTGAGCAGTTCACGGTCTTAGTTCAAGGCCGTGTTGAGCAGTTCACGGTCTTAGACCTCAGTTCACGGCCGTGAACATTGAAACGCGTCTGTGAAATTAGTGCTGAGACCAAAACACACCGCTTCACATTCACGGTCTTAGCGACCGTGAACTCACTCGGCGTCCGTAACCTCTGGATTTGCCCTGGATGCTTCACGATTCACGGATTTTGGCTCCAGTTCATGGTCCTGTAAGACTGTGAACTCCAATGGTAAACCTTGAACACAAGCTGTTTCCTCCTCTTTTCTTTTTTTCTTCCAACTTTCAACTCCGGGGCTGGTTTCACCGGTTAGATCCTGAAACACACTAAAACACAAGAAACATAGCGTAAAACCAACCTTTTAGGAGCGAAATTGCCACCAACGCCTAAGGAAAATGGGGGTAAAACATGTACAATTAGGCCCGAATCACTCCCCCACACTTAGACGTTTGCTTGTCCCCAAGCAAACCATTCTCAACCTAGGTAATATTTCAACCTACAAAGATATCTAGGGGGCATTTCAAAAGGCACAAGGCTGTGAATCTCAAATGACTATTTGGGCATCGACACTCGAACCGTCTCAAACAATTCCGGCATCCACCACAAATGAAATTCAATTGCATCAAAAATGGGCAAATGAAAAGTTCTCATTCTATCCACAATCAATGCAAGTCTCAACCAGGCCACTAATCAATCACAACCGACCATGCATATAATTCAAGTCAAAGGAACAGACAAAGGGGCAACATAGTTCCTCACCGGGATAGATATGAACATGCAAGAACAAGAATGAATTGCTCACTGTTGACCAGTGGGGTCAGGGCCTTTTGGTGCAAAAGATGGGCACAATCATCACCACTCATCCCTACCATCTCACCACCACGGTGACAACCTCTAAACGTTAGAGTTCACGGAAAGGTTGTCATCACTAGCTTGTCCGGATGTCTTAGGCTAGGGTTTTGACGACTGGAAATTGTCTTGGACATGGGGAAAATGCCTTTTTGGCGGTGGCAAACAAAACATGAGGTTCTACATCTTCAAACTAAACCCGAAGGTTCTATGGTTTTGACTAAGAACCTTCTCTACAAACAAAGGCCACTAGCATCGGCCAAAAGCCTTACTTCTCCCTTCCAAACTATCACCCATCATGAACGACATTTAAGCGCTCTTCCTTGGTCACTTTCGATTTGGTAGTGAAGGAGTTCTAAAACAATGTGGGGGTCTCATTGGCTTGAGTGCCCAGAAACCTCTCCTAGAGCATACACTTAGATTTTTCGTGGCACTCTCTACTTTATTTACCCTGTTTTATTACCTCTTTTTATTTTCTCTTTTCTTTTCTTTCCTTTTTCACTTTCTCTTTTTTTTTTCTTTTTTTTTTCTTTTCGAGGGGGTACTAGAGAGTAAACACTTGGCACCTATACATATTAACGACCAATGCTCTCTTTTCAAGAACTCACTCTAACACTACAGTTCATTTTGCATTCCTAGCAAGAACCTCACATAATCCTCCTATGTAGAACCTCAATGGAACTCAAAAGTGAGAGCTTCGGGATACAAGGATGACTCATGTAAAGACACGAAGAAAGGATTGGGGTCGTTTTATCAACACCATTAAGCTCACAAGCATGAAGCTCCTAACTTAAGAACGACCCTCGAAGTCACAAGGCTCAAAGGGGTTGACTAGTGGATAACACATTTCGGGACAATCAAAATTTGGGCGTGGACTAATCCTATGCCTCCTTCCTACTCGCTAATGACAACTGGTGATGCTAAACACCGTGGTGAGAGGGAACTATCACACCAGAAGAAAACGATCGGCTTAAAACTCACAGGCTACCTAGCCTCCCAATCGTCTATTCCACATTCACAAACTCGATGCATGGCGATTGTAATCGAAGAGTAACCAAGTCAAGACATCCCATTCATTTAAGAACACATGATAACTAAGCCTTCGCACAATCCTAATGCACTCTTGGTCATCTTAATAGGATTCACTCGACTATATGCAACAATTCAAGAACGATGCCAAATAAGCATGAAATTCACTCAAACCGGCCATTTTGAACAAGCATTGCTTGGAGCACTCAAATTTTTCAAATTTGGCCATACATCAAGGCTCCAAGCATTCAAAATCACACCGAAGATTCACACACACATGCATAATGGATTACCCCCCCCCCCCACACGTAAGCTCGACATTGCCCTCAATGGCATAAAATTGGGAAGTAGAATGGGGTTACCGAATAGTGGTGAAAGTTGGTGATCGGGAGCGGAGGGCGGGTGAGATCCGGAAGAGCAAGGAGGCGGCAAAACAAAAGGTCGTCTTAATGAATGGAAAAGAGTTGCGAACTGTTGATGGTTGGGTTGCCTCCCTCCAAGTGCTTCTTTAACGTCGTGAGCCGGACAGTTGCTCTTCAAGTTTCGGTACACCCAAGAACCTCATTGAAGTTGAGGTTCTCGTCGGTGAGGTGATGTCTCAAGTCACGAGCATTGGACGAGTCCATGATTGAGGGCTCGTGAACTTGAGTGGCTTTGAGGCTCCACCCACGAGACCTCTCCTTCTTTCCTTCTTCACTTTTCTCTTTTCCCCATACCATGTAATGCATCATATCCTTGCTTCCATCGCATCCACCAAGAGGGATCGCTGATAGTTTGGCCTTGGCTTGGCAAAGAGCCGCAAATGGGTCCTTCTCCAAAAGCGCATCGAGGTCGGGTGGAAAGCATTGGTAGCACTTGTAACTTGTGGATGCTTCATCCATCTCGACTTCGTCCTCGTCTTGGACACCACTTGCTCCTTATCCTTCATCTTCAACCTCCCTTCCTTCTTCTTTAATTTCCTCCCCTTGGGAACACTCGAGATCTCCCCCCTCTTCAATGCTTTCTTCCTCCTCTTCAACTTCTTCTTTCTCCTTCCCTTTCATTTCTTTAAGCATTGTTTGGAGGGAAAGTTGCCATGCAAGATCATAGAAAGGGTTATTTTGATCCTCTGTACTCGGGACTTGATCTTTAAAGTTGGTATCGGGAGGGGGAAATTGATGAGAGTCATCAATGCAACCTTCTTGTTCATCCTCACCACGGGAGCTCTCCGATGTGAGTTTGTCTTGCTCCACACGGTTTTCATTGATCGATCCTTCAACCTCCTCTTTCTCCTCCAATAATGAGAGGCGATAGCTTTCACAAGCTTGTGCCACTTTCTCCTCTAGTGTCAAATCGGGAGGACGAAGGGGTTGGAAATCCATGCCGGACCTCGTTCTTCCAAAATCATCATGGCTCGCCTCTTCGACTTCCTCTCTTTCTTCCAATGGTAGGAAGCGATTGCGAGCAAGTTGTGCACATGCTTGCTCTACAAGCCCTCCTAGACTCTGTGCGTCGACAAAGCTCCTCCACCTCCTCAAGAAAGGTTGAGTCGATAGGGTTGACGATTGGGAGGTCCATGCTAGAGCACCCTTCATAGGTGCCTCGAACAAATCGCTCCACCATGAGCTCTAATTTTCTCTTTGGCTCCGGTTGTGGAGTGGCACATGGTCGTGAGGTTTGGCCTATGAAAGCCTCCATGGCCAACTTAAACTTGGATTTCACCTCGAGTTGTGCAGGGAAACATTCTTGCTATGGAGAAGCTTCTTGGTATCCCCATGAGCATGGTTGCTCTTCGTGGAAGGGAGGTTGGTAGTAGAATTCGGGTCCTTGACTTCCCCCTTCATGATCGTCCCATGAAGTTCCGGGGTAACCACTCTCAGGTGTTGGTGGATACCCCCACACTTGGGTGAAATCATAAGGATCCATAATCGAATACCTACAAACACATAAACACGAAAAAGAAAAATAAAACACACACAAACCACCCTTCAAGATGAAGAGTGGTAAACAAAACAAACACTAAACATATAACATAAACAAAGAGGCAAGATAGAAAATGCTAGAGTAACACTAAGCGAGGTTTTTCAAAATAATGGACTGCGGTTCCCCAGCAACGGCCCCAAAAACATGACTTGCAAGAAACTACACGACGAATTAATCCCGACTAGAGCCTAAGATTTAAACTCTAGCCGGGTGCAGTATAGGGCAAGTATTTAAATTGTCAACCCAGACCGGTCCATGTACCCCTACTTCAATCACTTAAGTTGTTATCTAGCAAAATGGTTTTTTGGGTTTAAAAACTATGAAAACTAGAAATGAAAACAAGCAAGTAAAGTAAATCGAGGGGAATTCTATATGAGAGGACCTCACTCGGGTGTTGCTTCCCCCTAACTACTACCATGGTATGTGAATTGAAACAATTGTTATGGCCAAGGTAACCGAGAACCCCAGAGGGATGCAAATATGGTCATAGACCACACTCTCGTTTGCTAAACCGAGGTATACATTATAGGCCGTGTCACTCGGCCCTCTCGGTTTAGCCAATCAATGGTTGACTTAATCTCTCACTCAACTCAAGGGTTGGACGGCTTAATCGCGCTTAAACATTGAGGTTTGCCCTAAATTAACCTAGTTAGATGACTTAAAAAGCTAAAGAAAAACCAACTCGATTGAGTCTCCCTTGAAAGGGGGATTCTCCTCTCTAGTCTAGGTTAAAGTGGATAATTAGATTGCTAAGCACCATAATGCACAAACCTAAAGATGCTAAGCACAATCATGCACAATCCTTAGGTTGCTAAGCACCAACATGCACAAACCTAAGGATGCTAAGCACAAAACATGCACAATCCTTAGATTGCTAAGCACAAGCATGCACTATCAACATGAATAATACCTCAATCATTGAATTAAACAACACCCATAAACAATCATTCAATTCACATAAGCATTCACATAATTGTAGCTAGGGTTTACAACACCCGAGTGAATAGGTATGCTATTCCATAGCTAAACAAGAGAAAACAACAAAAAGAGAAGAAAGAACCATGAATTGATGTCAATCTTTCCTCCTTGTTGCTTGAGACACCCTTGAGATGAAGAAATCTTCAATACTCTAGCTAGGAACAAGCCTAAAGCTCCTTCTTCCTCCTCTGATTTTCACTTTCTCACTCTAGAAGAAACCCTAGAGCCTCTTACTAGAATCCTCTTTATTCTAAAAAAGAAAACATAACCTAAAAATGAAGCTCCCCTTTCTCTTTAAGCTCCCCTCTCCTTTTATACCCAAATCAGGCTCAGTTCAAGGTCTGATTGCTGAGTTCAAGGACGCGTTGAGCAGTTCACGGTCTTAGTTCAAGGAAGCGTTGAGTAGTTCATGGTCTAAGACCTCAGTTCAAGGCCGTGAACATTGAAACGCGTCCGTGAACTTAATGCTGAGACCAAAACGCACCGCTTCACATCCACGGTTCACGGTTTGTGCGGCGTCAGTAACCACTGGATTTTCCCTAGACGCTTCACGATTCATGAATTTTGGCTCCAGTTCACGGTCCTGTAAGACCGTGACCTCCAATGGCAGACTTTGAACACAGGCTGTTCCTCCTCTTTGCTCCATTTCTTCCAACTTTCAACCCCGGGCCTGGTTTCACCGGTTAGATCCCGAAACATGCTAAAACACAGGAAACCTAGCGTAAAACCACCCTTTTAGGAGCAAAATTGCCACAAACGCCTAAGGAAAACGGGGGTAAACATGTACAATTAGGCCCGAATCAGGTAGTGAGAGCAGTATTCAAAGAAGAGGAGGCTTGCATGAGATAGACAGAGTTGCGAGTTTAGAAGCCAAGATAGATGCTAAGTTGGATTCTAAGTTTGATGCACTCGAACGGAGGCTGGCTAAGATTTCACTTGGTAGACAAGAGGAGGTTGCTTCATGTGAACTTTTCCAGGGTCCTCATCATAGGGATATGTGTCCACTGGGAGCTGCTCAGTTGGAAGATGTCCAATATATCAATAATCCGCTAAGTCAAGGCCAGGGTGGTATGTATCTAAATACATACAAACCTCAATGGAGACGTCACCCCAATATGTCAT